TGAAGAAAGCAGAAGACAGGTACAGGTACAAGGAGTTGGCACTAATGCATTTGCAAATATGGGGGTTAAACCCAAAGGAGTTATAGGGGCTCCCAGTGGAACTGGAAAGAAAGAGGTTGTCTGTGAGTAGTGCAAGAAGCCAAAGCACACCAAGGACAAGTGCTGGAAATTACATCCCGGACTTGTTCCTGCTCGATTTTAGAAGAAAAATGATGGTAGGAAGACAGGGAATGCAAATGCAGCCACGGGTACAGATGCTGAAATTGAGTCTGCCTATGCACAATTGGCAGCCATGAAGATTAGAGAAGATTAGAGAAGATTGGCAGCCACGGGTAATGCTGCCGTAGACTGAAGGCCCATGAATCTGGTTATATGGGTGGGGAGGGAGGTCAATGCACCGGCTAATTCTTTAGCTAAGCGGGGGTGGGGGCGGGGGTGGTACTTAGGGATCATTTGTACTGGGCTCAATTGTAATTTTTGGCTTTTGCATTGTTCTTTCTTTTAGGGTGAGGCTGCACCTTGTGCTTCTCTCTGGGATGCTTGTAACAATTACTTATTTTATTGATTTCAATGAACTTTTACTTATCAAAAAATGATAAGCAAGCTAGTTACATGGAACATTATCAGACCAAAAGTAGGGAATTAACCAGGAAAGGGGAGTAAAAGTTCATTGTCCCTGTACATATACTGATGCTAAAGCTAGTTAGTCCTAATTGGCTAATCTGAGTCTTAACAAGTGATAGCATTTTTTAACCAAACAAAAGTGAAGAAATTGGGCTATACCCTACCCAACCCAACTTGATGTCATCAGATAGAGTTAGGATTAGGGTTTGGGGTTCAACAACTAGGGTTGGGATAGGTTGACCTCAGTCTGATCTAACCCAACCCTACTTGCACCCCTACTTGAAGAGAAGGAGTCAAGATATAAGAGTTATAGTTGGTTTTTTAGGATAACTTTTTCGTGCTAATTAATCAGATGTTCCATCTTAATATATTTAAGATTTTTAATCTTCTATCGTTTGTTGTACATAGTGAGTTGTTATCTTTTTGGATTTTGAGTGTGTAGTTACCTCTTTTAACATTTCATAAGGTTCCATACCTAAATTTTATGTTTTGAGGCATTCAAACAAAAACATAAAGAAGCATGAAAGAAGGATGTGCTAAACCTATGCCAATAAATGTTAAATAACTTGGGAATATGTATTAAAGACATACTCCAAAAGGTAAAAACCTGAAGTCATGACATCATGTTATCTTACCCAACAGTTATGGTAGTGGTGCCTGTCAAAGTATCAATTATTAACAGAATTCTTAACATCAAGTACTGACATAGGCTTTTGTTATAGGATCATAAAAAATATAAGGAGCCCGTCTCACTCTTCGAACACTTTATTGTTGTTGGTCTTCATTCAGAGATGGCTAAATCTGAAGTTGAAGATCCGGTAATGCTACAGCAGCATGGGCCTTCAGTTCCTACATTGGAACCTCAGGTTAATTGCATTGGATAAATGTACCATTCTCATATAGATTGAAGCTTTCTATGTTCAAATGTCCTGTGCTTATTTATTTTTGGCTTTACCAATGTACCTCTTGATAGTGCACAATGGTGGGACAAGATTTGTATAGCTGACCCCAAATAGTTGATTAAGACTGAGTTGAGTTCAATTATTTTCTCTTTTTCTGCAAAGAAGATTCTGATAATAATATGACTACTATACATGGTATTTATGGCTCTCTTTGTGCATTGCATTTGTATATGGCTTCTTCTTGTGTTGAATTTGCTAATGATTTTTGCAGATTTTCTTGATTTCTTTCATTTTTTATGTTTGCAAAGAAAAAGTCAAGGAATTCTCTTATTGGGTCCAAGCTTTGAGGTTTTGATTTAACTAGGATTTTTTTGCCAAGATGTATAGGAGATTTGGGGAAATTTAAGAAAATGTGAAGTTTAACAACTTTAACTACATTTATTTAATACTCAAAAGATAACATCGTGAGAATGAGGGAGTCTCAAAAGATAACATCTATGGTTAAAAGCATTTAGGTGGGAGGTAATCCCCCCTGTTGTATTTGCAGACATCACATTGGTTTATCCCTGTTTTTTTTTTTGATAGTTGATGCTTAATATAATAAGCTTCTTTTCTAAAATCTTGTTCCCCAAGGTCCAAATTCTGCCTAGACTATAAGGGGGCTAGTTTCCCGGACCACCCTATTTGTTTTTCTTATTGTGATCCAGTTGGTCTGCTACTGCGTTAGGTGTGTTAAATCTAAAATACATAGGATCTGATCACTTAATTTTATGATTTTGATTTTCTGAGTTAGACTACCATTTGTTTTTACATTAGTGTCTACCTTCTTGTGTAGCTGAATCTACATGGATGATGCCATCCATTAAAACGAAATTATCAGTATGTATCCTGTTTCCTAGGTCTTTGCTTAGCTAGATTTTAATGGTTATAGTTGATCAAACATGGAGATGCATTTTATGTTGATTTCCACACAACCTCTGTGCCTTAAAATAAAGAAAGAAAGAAAGAATTCGTGATGTTAATTCATTTGCCAATCTTGCAGATTCTTTTCAAGTATCCTCCTGGGAGGAGGCTGGCCATGCAACCAAAGGATTTAACTTCTTTCTGTTTCCCTACAGGCATTAAGGTGTGATGTACCTGATTTGTTTTAAATCAGGATTTGTACGTATTTCGAGTTCATGCCTTCTGAAGTTTTTGGTTTCATTTAGATGGGAAAGTTCTTATTTGTTAATTCCTAATCTTGTGTAATCTGGCAATGCAATTCAAATGTTATTTTCCTATAATTCTGCATCCTTAATGTTTTCATTGTTCTTTTATTTTAATGTGGCACCTTGTTAATATCAATCCAGCTGTGGGTTTATGCCAATGCAATTCAAATGTTAGTTTTTTCTTTTCTGCATCTAGTTGCTGTGGCTCTTCTTTGAAAACATAAAGACCACCATCTTCGTCATATGTCTCCCATCTGATCTAATATTCAGCATTCAGCAAGCACCCTGCCATAAAAGTAGAGAGTTGTTGATCAGCAAATCTGATTTAGACTCTAAGGTGGCAGCATTTGTAAACATTCTATAACAACTTAAAAGAGGCTTAACCTACTAGTAAAAGGACCATAACTAAAGAAGTCATAATCAAAGAATAAAAAGAGCTCATTAACAACCCAGAAAGATATATAAACATGCAAAAACATAAAACAATTCACTCCTTTCTAAACAAATTTTCCATCTGTCTACAATGATATCAACTTCATTTTCACCTTTCTTACCATGATGAATTTAGATCTTTTTGAATAGTAAAAAGAAAATTTTATTAAATACAGGAGAGATTACAATCTGAGGGGGTGTCAAGGTAACACTACAAAACACATTAATCAGAAAAGAAATTCTCAACATTACAAACTTGTAATTCAAGTGCTTCCCAAAAACTATCTCCCAAATCTGCTCTGTTTACTTGAGCAAAATCTGGAAGGACCATCACCCAATCTGTCACTGGCTTGCCACTGGATGCCACCAACTTCTTAATGCTCCAAGGCTTATTCTGGAACAACCTTCTGTTTCTTTCTTTCCATATGTTCCAACAGACAGGAAAGGGAATGCAGCTCCACACGATCCTGGCCTTCTTACTTCCTCTAAACTTTGCCCAAGAGGAGAAGATATCTGCTGGAGACCTTCGCTGAAAGACTCTTTCAACAAATAATGAAGATTAAAATTTCCAAATGAAACCAGCCACATGGCACGAGAAAAATATATGACAGGCTGTCTCCTCTTGCACTTCACATGTAGCAATAACTAGTCATACTGAAACCTCTTCTCTTCAAGTGCTTCGAAGTTAAGATACTGTCCATTGCAATCAGCCACACAAAGGCTTCCACTGTAGTACAGGATTACCCCTAACACCTCCAACCTGACTTGTGTTCAGATGGCTTCAAATTAGTGCTAAATAAAATGATCTTACAGAAAATCTTCCATTCCTACACTCCTTCCACCAAAATTCATCTCTTGAAGAACTTGAAATCTTTGATTGTATGTATCATTGGATTGTGCTCTCTCAAATACGAAGACTCTCTGTATGTGGATGTTAACTATCTCCAAATGGTCTCCTCTCTCAAATACAAAGACTTTTTTTTATTGAAGATGAAGTGATTGTGCATGTCATTGGATTGCTGTTCCACTTATGGAAGAAGGAAATTGCAGAGGCAATCTCTTTGGTGTGTGGAGGACGTCTGTTTGGTGTATTATGGGAAAACCTCTATTTTGCGGGGTTGTTGTTGAATGGAGTAAATCTAGAGGACATTTTGAGGAAGAATGAAGTATTAGTTGATATTGTGTTTCTCCTGGTGTGGTTGGCAACCTCCATTGAAGTAACTCTATGGAGGGAGGCTCACATAGAGGGGGATGAGAAGGTAAGTCTTATGGGAAGTTTCACAAATTTGGGAAAGTTGGAAGTGTGGAAGAGACTTTGGGGGAATCGAATGTGATACTGTTCACACCTAGAAAAAAATCCATTTAACTTAATGTTGCAAATTACATACTTGCCTTGAATGGGCACTCAAATATAAATAAAGTAAAAGGACAATGATTCCCTTTCTCACAATACATAATCTCAACACTCTCCCTCAAGCTGAGCATAAATATCTATCATCCTTAGCTTGCCTAGGTTTTTATTAAGTTTCGGATCGTGGAGGCCATTGGTAAGACAATCAGCAAGTTGATCTTCTGACTTGCAAAAGGCACACAAATTTCTCCACCGGCTACCTTTCTTTAATAAAGTGTATAGCAACCTCCATGTGTTTTGTGCAATCATGTTGGGCTGAATTATGAGCAATGTTAATAGTAGCTAGGTTATCACAGTACAACCTCATTGGAACTTTAGCTTACATTCCAGTCTCAGCTAACAAGGTCTTTAGCCAAAGCAATTTTGATACATCATGAGCCATAGCTCTATATTTTGCTTCTACACTATATCGAACTACAAATGATTGCCTTTTACTTCTTTTTTTTTTTTTGATCAGCAAAAAACTTTCATTAATGATAAAGAGATTAAGTTACAATAAATAAAGATTGCAGAGGGACAGACTGCAATCTCCAGTAATTAGTTACAATTCTGCCCAATACAATGAAGATCTATTTGCCCCTTGTTTTTCTAGGGTATCCACCATCCCATTTGCATCCCGTTTGACCCAACCAAATTGAGAGTTGAACTTCCTTGCAAGTGTGTCAATTTCTTTGAAGATAAATTTGAGCTTCCAAGGTGCTGATGTGATGTTTTTGGCCCAAGAGATGACCAATAGTGAGTCTCCTATTTCTAAGTCTGTTGTTCCTATCTACTCAGCCATCTTTAGACCTTGAAGTAGGGCTAGAGATTCAGATTGTATTGAGTCACCAATATCTATTGGTCCTGAGTAAAGTGCCACCACCACACCCAGATGATTTCTAAACACACCCCCTATGCCTGCCCTTCATGGGTTGCCAAGAGAACTCCATCAAAGTTCAGTTTTAGTTTGTTTAGTGCTGGTGGCTTCCATTCCATGCTGACAAGTACTTTGGGTACATCTGTTTGTGCTACTTCAGCCCAATTTCTTAGTATCTCATTTGTGGAGTAGTTTCTGAATATCTCCATGGTCTTCACCCAATGTGCAGTTCTGATTTTAATGGCTTCAATAACTTCCTCCTTTTTTGCCTCCTTTTCTATAGCACATCGCAAGTGTTTACCTTCCCTACGAACACTTCCCAACAAAAAGCTTGTACTTTTGGAGGGATCGGTTTAGACCAGATTTCTCTCACTGGGAAGTTCACCCCCATAGGATCAACGTGAGTGAGCAAACTAAAGAAAGATGCACAGGAAAATAAACCATTAGAAGTTGGGTACCAAACTCTACAATCAGCTATAGATTGGTCCAAGTAGACCTTCTCAATTGTTGAAATCAAAAGCACTAGAGACTCACACTCGTTTTCCCTCAACCCTCTTCTGAAACCAAAATCCTAAGAGATCCCTGAATCTGAAAGCACACCCAGCCTAGCAACAGGTTTGTTTTTATGGTTTGATAAGGAGTAGAGGTATGGGAATTTGAACATAAGAGGCACTTCCCCAACCCAAAGGTCTTCCCAGAATAAGACTTTGTTACCACAACCGACATCATACCTAATAAATTGAAGAAAAGTTGGATATACCTCAAAGATTGCCTTCCAAGGAGAAGATGGAGCTGTATTGGGGGCTAGTTTTGCATCCCAGCCGTTATCTGCTTCACCATGTAAGCTTTTAATGACCTTGTGCCACAATCTTTCTTCTTCACAAGGGAATCTCCACAGCCATTTCCCTAGAAGGGCCTTGTTTTTCTTTAACAGGTTCCCTATACCTAATCCACCTTGCTCCTTAGGGTAACAGACTTGCTCCCGCTTCACTAAATGATCTTTCTTTTCATCACCTGGTTCCCACAAAAAGTCCCTCATAATCTTCTCCAACTTCCTAGCTATTTTCACCGGGATCTTGAAGGTGGAAAGGAAATAAGTGGGTAGGTTTGCTAGGATTGATTTTATCAAGGTGATTCTTCCACCCAGGGATATATCATTTCTCTTCCACATTGCCAACTTCTTTATGAACCTCTCTACCACCGATTTCCAGAAACTTTCAGCTTTTGGATTCCCACCCAAGGGCATACCTAAGTATTCCAGAGGCCAATTTTTCACTTCACAACCTAGCAGATTTGCCATGGCTTGGATGTCCCCCCCTTCAATGTTGATTCCAGCTACACAACTTTTTCCCAATTGACTTTCAGTTTGGAGGCCTATTGAAATTCATCCACCAATCTTTTCAAATTCCTTAAACTAGATTCATCACAGCTTTCACAAAAAATGATTATGTCATCAGCAAATTGCAAATGAGACACCACCACTTCTGACCTACCCATCCTCCAACCTTTAAACTGGTTTTCTTGATCAGCCTTGATGATTTGTCTACTCAAAGCCTCAGCCACAAAGGTGAATAAGAATGGAGATAAGGGATCACCTTGTCTTAGTCCTCTTTTAGCCTGGAAGAAATCCTTAGCTACCCCATTCATCAGAATAGAAAAGTGTGCTGAGCTAATACATTCTTTAATCCACATCCTCCATCTTTCACCTAGCCCCATCTTTTCCATTAAGTTCAACAGGAAGGACCAATCCACCATATCATAAGCTTTTTCTAGGTCCAATTTAGAAATCAAATCTTTGCCACCTTGTTTTCTGTTAGCTTCCATACACTCATTTGCCACTAGGATTTGATCCATAATTTGTCCCCCTTCTACAAAAGCTCCTTGGTTCTGAGAGATAGCATAGGGCAGTACAATCTTCAACCTACCAGCCAGGACTTTAGAAATGATTTTATACAAGCTACCCACTAGACTTATCGGTTTGTAATCCTTAGGGGTTTTGGCCTCCTTTTTTGGCACTAAAGCAATAAAGGTTGCATTTGCTCCAGGCGATAATTTTCCTTCTTGATAAAACTCCACAAATACATCCATTAATTCATCTTTCAAAATTTCCCAACAATCTTGATAGAAAGCCATTGCAAATCCATCCTGATTGCTTTTTAATTCTTCAAGACACAACATTACCTCTCATCAAAGCACAATAACTAGAGGTGGATCTCTTACAGTCCTATCATCCACAGAGCCTACCCAATTAGCATCAGTATAAGCCTTAACCTTGAGATGCCCATGTTTGGAGTAAGCAAGAATCCTATTGACTGCCTGCATATGTGAAATTTTGGGATTATGCATAGACTGACTCATCACACTTAAGACATAGTTTATATCAGGCTTGGCCAAGGACAGGTAGAAAAGTTGACTAACTAGTCTCTAGTAGACATCCTTATCAAGAAGAGTGCCTCCATCATCAACACTTGGTTTATGATTGGGTCAATGGGAGTTTCAATTGGCTTGCACTCCAACTTCCCAACCTCATGAAGGAGGTCAAGCACATGCTTTCTCTACAAAATGAAGATCCCTTCTTTTGAGCTTGCCACTTCAACTACAAGGAAGTATTTGAGCTTCCCAAGATCTTTAATCTCAAATTTGGAAGTAAGAAATGACTTTAGTTAGGTTATTCTAGAGCTATCATCTCTAGTGAAAATAATGTCGTCAACATACACTATCAGCAGAGTTAGGTAAGGTATGTTGGTTGAGAAATTATTTATGGATTGAAGCAGTCCCCACAAACTTGATTTGGTAGATTTAGTAGTGTGGTGCAAGATTTTGGTTTGAAATAGTGTAGTGGTGATCATTCAGTGTTCGACAAGGATGCCTGCTTTGGGAAGATCATCTTGGTAGTTTATGTTGATGATATTGTTCTTACTGGTAGTGATGAACATGGTATTAATGAACTGAAGCAATTCCTATGATAACATCTTCAAACCAAAGACCTAGGAACATTGAAGTATTTCTTGGGCATTGAGGTTGCTTGTTCAAAGTGGGGAATTTCTCTCTTATAGAGAAAGTATGTTTTGGATGTGTTAGAGGAAACTGGATTGTTGGGATCCAAGCCAGTGGAGATTCCTATGGATCCCAATGTAAAGACGACTGATAGTCAAGGGGAGCCATTAGAAGATCCAGTAAGGTATAGGAGACTTGTAGGCAAGCAAATTTACCTCTCTATCACTCGGACTGGCATCTCATTCAATGTTGGAGTTCTCAGTGAGTTTATGCAAAATCCCATAACTACTCATTGGGATGGTGCTCTAAGAGTGTTGAAGTATTTAAAGGGTATTACAGGTCGTGGGTTGCTGTATAAGAAAGGGGGGAGCTAGCTGTTGAGTGTTGAGGTATTTCAACTTCATGTTTTAAATGAACATTGTGATGGGATGGGATATCCATCACATGGATGCCCAAGTCTTGCGGAATGGATTGGGCGAGTTTCAAAAATTTCTCCCATCTTTGCAGGGAATCAATATTCCCTATATTTAGAAAAACATGTTTTTCAAGGATCAATCTTGAATCAAGAACCAAACCAGATCTGAACCAAAAGGAGTAGGAGGGAGGATGTACCTGATAC